TAAAACAGGCCAAAAATGACCAAAATAGCACAAAATGACCATTTTCTGGAGGCTCTACAAGCATAACCACTCAGTATTTTTAACTAATTCTTTGATAGGCTCATTCAGGTTGACCAGAGGTATGTTCTGGCTACCTCTCCAGTTAGCCCATATTTTTTTTTTCAGATGCCAAAAATGGCCTCCAGAATAAAAACCTTCTCAAGGCTCCAGCTTTCACTGAAATTAGTCCATACCAAGGGAAGTGTAACACAACTACATAATGTAAAAGAATACACAAATACATTTGAGGTACAATAGATTCTTAGAAAGAACCAGAAAAATGAACCAACCTTCATTCTTTTTGCACTCAACTGTAAATACCCATCATTCCACCAATTCTTAAGAAATTTAATGAATGCTTGACATAGCTATGACTGAAACCGAATTACATCTCCTTAAGACTTGGGCAAAATGTAATACGGCAACTGTAAATTATTTGATGCATACCATATCTTGATAGATGGTGAGTATATTTTCATACTTAAAATTTCAATATCCAAAAATTGAATCAAGCAAAATGAATGAAAGTTTGAGTGAGTTAGAATTAAAGTCATTCTGGTACAAGTTGCACAAACAAGTATTTGTGCCAAAATGGATTTAGTTATATCTTTCTCAGTTCTTAACCGTTTTTGATGAACTAAAATAGACATGGTTACAAGGCTACGTAATGCACGTGACCGTTTAACCGGTTGCAACTGATTTAAACCGGTCTTTGAACGGTTTTAAAAGATTTTTGAAATGAGGCCACCGGCAACCGGACCAACCCCAAATTTGGGCAACTGCAACTGAAAAAAAGACCAGACCATGGTCCGGTTCAGTTCGGTCCACCGGTTTTTTTCTGTCCTATGGACCGGACCTGTAAACATTAAGGATTGACATGACATGACACATTTTTGACATCATGACCAAGTTGGCTTTCATACTATCTGCTTTCATATTGATAGCTACTGCACAAGTATACATAGACGTCACTATAGTACCTGATGGATGTACCTAAGATATGGTATTCATGTGTGGCCCAATGGGTATTGATCAGACCATTGTTGTTGTTGTCTGCGGGCGCTTGTCGTTCGTGGGTGGTGGCGGAAGGGGTGGTGGTGTGGTTATGGTCACTCATCGTGGGGTCCTGTTTGTTGTCTAAAAAGTCGCCGTCGACGTGGCATACCCAGATGGGCATGCCACGTCAGCAGTTTGGTGGG